GAGCAGATGGATATTGTAGTATGAGCAAAAATGACACCTCTTATTTTTTGTTTCTGTGCACACAGAAAGCTCTTTTTTTTAAAATTATTTATTTTTTAGAGATCAAACCTGCCCCATGACCAGCTGTAATCACCCTCAGGATGTGCCTACAGTGTACCTGCAGGTGTGGCAGCAGCACATGTAGATGTTCAGCAGCAGTGAGAGGGGGCAGATGGCACACTCGTGCTGATGGCACACTGTGTGTGCTCTCCAGAGGGTTTCCCAGCTCCTGCAGCCCCTGCATTCCCAGCCTGGCTGGTCAGTGCACACACCTGGCCCACTTCCCAAAAGCTGCAGTCCTGCCTGAGATGATTGCTGAATAAATGCCCTCTTAAGGCTGTACCTGCTGAAGGAGTAAGATCAGTGAAAAGGAACGGGACGGTGCTGTGGCCCCAGCACCCCCAGCAGCTGCCTGGGTGCTGCCTTCCTCTGCTGCATGAGCAGTGCACTCTGCTGTCCACAGCCCACACTGCAGAGCCCAGCTAGTTACTGCATCTGCCAGGAGAGCACACTCCCTGTTTCTAACAACAGCAGCAAATTTATAATGTTAGGTTACCTTTCTGTTAATCTAAAAAGCAGTCCTCTAGAAATTTGTAGACTGGGATGAAGGGAACATAATAATGACCAAATGCTCCTCTCAGCACTCTCAGGCCACACAGGGGAGCATCAGGTCTGCTCTGGTGTAACTGAGGTTCACTTTGTCTTGCAGCTTTGCAGAGTATATTTACATAAACTTGTCTGCAGTAAGTGGGCTATCCCAGATCCTCTCCTTTTGCCCGGAAAACCAGGAAGAGGTACAGGAGCATTCCATATCCTTCCCCCACCACCTGACAGATGAGGAGAGTTTTCCACATACACTGGGAGGGAGATGGAAAAGAAGAGACAGATGTGCATACCCATTTCGACAGTGATTTCAGGTTTCCCCCCTTCCCAAAGACAAGCCAGAGCAATTCCAATCCTTGGTCTCTTTCTCCTACCTTGGTTGCTGTTCATGGTGTAGATGACGATTTTCACACCAAAGCTCATGGTGTCTTTGGGTTAGGCATTCCTTGTTTGCCTTTGAGGGTGTCTTTCCCAAGGTATGATTCAGCCATGCTATTGCATGGGTGTACTGCTCTGCAACTCCATCCTCCTGGGATTATTCCTACCTCTCAGGTGTTGCAGAGGGAACTTCAGCACCTAACTCCTGCCCTAGATTGCAGTTTTCAGGCCTGTGGGCTTAAATGGTTCCTTGGATTAGCTCTCAGGAACCACTCTGGACATACCACTGTAGTTGAACAAGCCTTCATTATTCAGCCAAAGTGGAGAAAAGGAATTGGGAGAGAAGTTATTTTTAATGCACAGACAGATGCTTTAAAAATAACTGAGTCCCCATGCTGGGGAGTCCCCAGCCTGGAAAGCACTGATCAGCCTTTTCCATAGCAACAGAGTTAGGCTGAAACCTACTGTTGTGAACTGGGACACAGCTGGACCAGCTGTTCCTTGCTGGGAGACAAGAATATCATCCTTCAGGCCCATTTCACATGCTCATTTTATCACAAACACAAGTGATAAAAGAACTGATCACCATGAGCTGTAGGAAGCAATGCTCTGGACTGCATCCAATCCCTCCCTGCTCATGCACTAAAGGGATCCTACAAGGAATGTCCTGGAAATGATCTTAGGAAACAGACCAGTGTTCAGCTCAAATGGTCACAACACACTGGAAGTGAAGCCTCCAACCTGACCAGATCTCTTAGCAAACTGTTTTCATACAGAGCAACCAGACCTTCCATTCTGCATGAAAGCCACAGGTTGGGGTCAAATCTGTTTCACTGATCCAGCCCATGTCTGTTAAAAGGATGAGGCAGATGAACATCTGCTGACATAAAAGAATTTTGGATATTACCCTCCCACTCGCAGTCTTTGGTTTGAACATTGGTTTTGCTTTTCTGAATCCCGACAGGCAACAGAGAGCATGACCTGCATAGCTGAATTTGATTGAGACAGAGGTGTTCAATCCCACACAAGTGGAATAGTGCACCTTTCTCTCCTCAGTCACTTTTAACAAGGTTACCTACTAGATGAGAAATGCACAGTGCAGCCCTCACTTGCAACAGCCCAGAAGTTTCAGGCTTTCCATGCTGACCAAACCTCCCTTGCTCACTCAGAAGGCATCTGGAAGAGAGACTTATTCTGGCAACCTGACAAACAAACCCTTTGGCCTCAACGTGCCACAGCTTTCCAATTGGAAAGGCTCTCCCTGTTCCCCATGCTGCACTCACACTAAATATGCATGAAACTCTTGTCACACTGCTCAGTGCCCTGCTAACCTTGGCATTCTGTCAGCTTTCCCCACCTTTCTGCAAAAGCAAGGGAAAGGCCTTGCAGCACTGAGAGTTGTGTGACAACAACTCCTCCTCCCATGTTTCAGTAGGACAAATGGAGTCCTAGGAAAAGCACAGGATGATGATGTTACTCTTTGCCTTGTCTGTAAGGCAGTGATGTTATTCTTTGAGATTCTGTAACGTGTAATGGAATTCACAGGGTTCTTCCTAAGTTTAGAGGTAAATCATCAGGTGAGAACAGTTACTCATTGCCAAATTAACCCTGACTACAGGGAACAAGCCAAGCAGAGGGGCTGCCAGTGATGGCTGTGGAAGGAAAGTCAAGGGTTTGGGAGAGGAGGTTTATAGGTAGGAAACCTTGGGAAAGCAGCTGAGAATTATTCACATCTGAAATATTTCTGGCCAGAGTAAAGAGAGTCACAGTGCATTAGCAGCAACCATCTGTGTGACTTACTGGTGCAACCCCATGACTTTGACAAGGGCAGTGGAATGGGCAGGACTGACCCAGGAGCTCCACAGAGGTGTGGAATTCTCATGCAGAGACAACCCCTAAAGCCCAGTGAAGGTATAAAGCTGCAGCACCTCACATTGCAAAGCACCCAAAGCACATAACCCTGCTCCTTTTACAGGCCGAGAGGTTCCCTGAATTTCACAAAACATTACATAAAAGAATTTTATTACCCTCCATTAGACTTTTAATTCTTAAACTTTTATAACAGGAAACTTTGCAGGACAAGGGGAGTTACTAAATACATCCTCTTCTTCAAGTTTTGGAGGTTTTTTATACATTTTATATACTGAACATTATGCCCTAATCACCTGTCCTGGTTGTGTCTCCTCCCATGCTCCCAGGCATCCCCAACTTCCTCCCCACCATGGCAGTACAAAAATCAGAAAAGGCTTCAGCTCTGTGTGAGCCCTGCTCAGCAATAACAAAAACATTTCCATATTATCAGCCCTGTGTTCAGCACAAATCCAAAATACAGCCCCATTCCAGCCACTGTGAAGAAAACCAACTCTACCCCATCTGAAACCAGCAGGGCTATTTAATAATTTCAGGCTGAAAACCTGAAAGCCAGAGAGCTAAGTGACTTGTGTGCATGTGAAAGAGGAAAATGTGAAAACCCTACTGGCCAAAATTACCTTGAAAGAATTCCAGATTAAGGTGAAATGCAGGATGACAGTTCATCCTTTCACAGGAGAAACAAGGAAATACTGTGGAGAATTGGCAAGTGCTCCCCAGCCCTGTGCAGTATTTCTGTGCCAGCAATTGCATGAGAAGTAATTAAGCAACATTCACAAAACAACACAAGCTGGAATATTATCTCTAGCATCTTTGTTTCCTAAAATGCTTGTTCACTGTTAATATTTTGATCTATATCCTGTCATTTTAAGTGTTCTGTGCAGAATCACATCTGTGATCTCTCTTCTCACAGTAAAACTTCCTAAGTCACATCCAATTGTTCATTACTGCTTTTTTAATTGTCTTGGCAAGGTCACTCAGGAACATGTCTAGTTCTAGCTCACCTTCTCACCATCAGTCAAGAGTTGGTAGGATTGCTCAGTTTTTTAAGACTGAGGTGGCATGCAGTGTATTAAGTTATTGAATTGTCTGTGTTGTTTTAGAGACAGAACACCCAGATAAATGGTAGCAAAGCATGTGCTTAATATATCAAGTCCAAAATTAAGACTTCTGAGGGGGAAAAATGGGCATTGCCTATTTCTCAAACTGTGAATGGTCACATCCTGGTACTACATATCTTATTTCTGTAACTTCAAAAGGCTGCAGTCAAGTGTCAAGAGCATGAGAGGTAAACGCAGCATTCTCTCAGCCCTGTTTCAAATTTGCTCATTGTGGCTGTTGCAACTTCATCCCCACACTGAAAGTGATCTGGGTGAGGCTGCTGGGAAGGATGTCCAGAGGCTCCAGTCTGCTCTCACCACTCGCCCCAGTGGTCCCACCATGTTCAGTGAGCCCTGTGCTTCTGCAAGCTCCTGGCTCATGCATGGAGGAACTTGCCGTGAGAAGCAGAAATGTCACTGGCATAATATAAAAAACAAAATCCTAATGCTCATGTCAGCAATCAGAGAGTATTTCTTTTATGAGAAATTGTGTTGCTATGAATTTGCAAGGGTGTTCCTTGCTGATGATTTACAGATTTCAGTAATGGTCCCTCCTACCCTGTGAGAAATGAAGCTGCCTGGGTGTTCACAGCCAGCTCTATCAGATGGATTTCACATGCATTTTTCAGGGAATTGATCTCTTTAATAAGGAAGAGAAAGCCACAATTCCTCCTGTGAATATTTTCTATGGTAAACTCTGCAGACAATCATGAGATAAAAAGTACATGTTCATTTTTATTTTCAATTAATCTGAATTTATTTTCAATTAATTCAAACAATAGAATCACAAAGTATTTCTGTACAAAATCTGTACAAGTGTCTCACAGAGATCAACATTACTCCTTCCCTCAAGAATAAAAATCCCAAATCCGGGTTATTTTGCAATCATAATCAATTTTTAACTTATTTACCTAAGAATGAAGTTCTCCAGCAGGTCATAACAGATGTAAATGATCTTGTGTTTCACCCATCAATGACAAAAATCACATGTTTAGCAGAATATTTTCACATCACATCTTGAATTTTCAATAACCTCGCTTCTCTTTTTCTTCTTTATCAAGCATAGCCTGTTTTAGACTCAATGCAGCATCTTCAAATTGGGGGTTTAACTCTAATACTTTCCTGAAATCTTTCATGGCCTCATCAAAGTCTCCTGTCCCAAAAAAGACAAAAAAAAAGGAAAAGTAAAATTATCTTTCTGTAACTGCTCATGCTCACAAACCTCTGACAACTCAAGAACACCTCCAACACTTTCACCCACAAAGCAGCAGCTGCTTCCTGGACCCGTGGCATTTGGATTCTCCACAGGCCCAACTGGGAGTCAAAGAGTTTCACATCAAGAATGGACTCAAATGCACTTAAGGCTCAACTCAGCCAGTTTGTTCCAAAGAGGAGGAGACAAAAGGCACACACCAACAATGAGGCTGCTTTAAAGCTGGCACACAGGCACAGAGCTTCCAGCGGGTGCCCATGGCCCGGCTCCATTCTCCAGTGGCTCGACCTCTGCAATGGCCAAGCTCCAACAGAAGGCACAGGGCTGTCATTTTGGGATGGCATCACCAAAAACGGGGCAGGAAACTCCCCAGAGGTGGCCAGCAGCCCACTGGAAGTGGAGAAGGCTGTGCTACAGGTGCTTGGGAGATGCTTTAGCTCAGGTTTAATGGCAGTATTTGGAACTGGCTTGTTTCACTCCAGCGCGAATTTCTCCACAAGTCAATTACACCTTTCCTCCCATTCTTCACGAAGTAGCATCGTTTCGAATGACAGCAGCATAGCCTGCAAGAGGGGTGTAAGCGCACACGGGGGGCAGGCAGGCGCTGTCACTGCTGGCACCGCGTGTGGCGCCGGTCCCGGAGCGATGCCCGCCCTCGTCCCGCCCGTGACCCGGGGCTGCCCGGCCCTGCCGTGCCCGGCTCGTACCCAGCCGGTAGCGCACCAGCCCGCGGTTGTAGTAGGGCACCTCGAAGCCGGGCTGGCACTCGATGGCGGCCGTGAAGTCCCGCACGGCGGCGGCGAACTCCACTCGCAGGTACCGCACCTGCCCGCGGTCGTTGAGCGCCGTGGCGAGGTCGCTGCTGGCACTGCGGGGACAGAGGGAGCGGCGTTAGCGGGACCCGGCTCGGCGCGCCCGCCCCGCTCCCGGCCCCGGCGTTACCCCGCGGGGCTGCGGGCGATGAAGCGGCTGAAGAGCTCCTCGGCCGCCGAGAGCCGCCGCGCCCGCAGTTCTGCCCGCGCCGCCGCCAGCAGCGCCGCCGCCTCCTCCGCCATCGCGGTGACGTCACGGGCACGCCGGCGCGCGCGGCCACGTCAGAGACGGCGCTGGGCCGGCGAGAGCTGCCCGCAGAGCGCAGCAGTATGGCAATAGCGTCTGTAACAACAGCAGGGTCACGGAGAGATGGTGCTGGGCCGGCGAGAGCTGCCCGCAGAGCGCAGCAGTATGGCAATAGCGTCTGTAACAACAGCAGGGTCACGGAGAGATGGCGTTGGGCCGGCGAGAGCTGCCCGCAGAGCGCAGCAGTATGGCAATAGCGTCTGTAACAACAGCAGGGTCACGGAGAGATGGTGCTGGGCCGGCGAGAGCTGCCCGCAGAGCGCAGCAGTATGGCAATAGCGTCTGTAACAACAGCAGGGTCACGGAGAGATGGCGTTGGGCCGGCGAGAGCTGCCCGCAGAGCGCAGCAGTATGGCAATAGCGTCTGTAACAACAGCAGGGTCACGGAGAGATGGTGCTGGGCCGGAGAGAGCTGCCCGCAGAGCAGGAGCTGCCCACAGAGCGCAGCAGTACGGCAGTGGTCACAATAACAACAGCGGGCTGCGTAGAGACTGTGCTGGGCCGGAAGGAGCTGCCCACAGAGCACAGAAACACGGCAGTAGTGTCACTAACAACAGCAGGGCCACGGAGAGACGGTGTTTAACCTAAACCTCTCCTTCATCTTAAAGCCATTCTCCCCTCTCCTATCCCTTTATGCCCTTGTAAATTGACTCTTTTTTACCCGTTTACAAGGTGCTGGGCCGGGGAGAGCTGCCCACAGAGCACAGCAATACGGCAATGGTGTCAGTAACACCACCGGACCACGGAGCCCTCTGCTCCGCTGCTCCGCTCTCCCGACCCCCCAGCCGCAGTTCAGCGCCCAGCTCGGGGCCGCAGCGCAGGCACGGTGTGGAGCCGCTGGAGCGAGGCCAGAGGAGAGCAAGACGATCAGAGAGCTGGAGCACCTCTCCTGGGGAAACAAGCTGGGAGAGATGGGGGTGTGGAGAGGGCTTGGTGGGAACCTCAGAGCACCTTCCAGTACCTAACGGGGCTCTAAGAGAGCTGGAAAGGGTCAGTTTACAAGGCCATAAAGCAATAGGAGAAGGGAGAATGGCTTTAAGATGAAGAAGGTTTAGGTTAAACATAAGGAAGGAATTCTTTACTGTGAGGGTGGTAAGACGCTGGAACAGATTGCCCAGAGAAGCTGTAGATGCCCCATCCCTGGAAATACTCAGGAACAGGTTAGATGCGCTGTGTGTTACCTGGCCTAGTGGAAGGTGTCACAGCCCGTGTCAGCACGTTTAAAGCAAGATGGTCTTTAAGGTCCCTTCCAACCCAGGCTGTTCTACTGCTCGGTGATTCTATGGAGATGGGGCTTATCCTTACCTGGCCTAAGCTTAGGTGAGAGACAGAAGAGCTCCTCTGCTCTCCTCTCAAACGTGCCAAGGCACAATGTGAACGTCACAGCTCTTGTCAGGCAGCCAGGTGCTGGCCTGGGCACAGCTCACCCTATGCTCAAGGCCCTGCAGCACTGCCAGAGCACAAACCAGCAGTAAGGTGGGACACCGAGACATTGTTCCTTGGACCTTTGTGTGTAACAAGGGTGACATTTCAGCTCCTGAAATCTGTTCAACAGATGCAGGCTGCTCTCCCAAGCTACATGGAAAGTGCCAGGTTCCAGGCTGCAAGTTCATGGAGGTTTCCTTAAGCTGGTGAAGATGACACCACCCAAGCTCAGGAACCCAAGCGACACACTGACTGCTGCGTGTTTTCAAGCCCTTTATTTTATGGTGGGTTTAAATACACTTAGTAAAAGAAACCAGCACTAATGTATGCTTATACTGGTATCATCACTCTAGTAACTCTTAACAGTAGTACAAAAACACATATGGTAATATTATCAAAATTATTGTGATGTTATTTCAACTCGGGAATCACTTCCCTCAAAAAACTGTGAATTCTGAGAAAACCCAGTAATTTCCTATGGAATTAAGACAAAAAAATTGAGCCTGCTCAGAGTAGAACATATTGATATGAGCCTACATTCGACTCACATGGCTCAATCTACAATTCAAAAAGAATGCTTTTACCTTAAACCTTTTTTAAAAAGCGTAGAAAAAAATGGAATCTATTTCCATGGTAATTTCTTCAGCTAAATGGAAGCAGTAAAGGTTTCTCTTGTGGGTTTTCTGTTTTGGTTTTGCTTTTTTTTTTTAATCTTTCTCTAATAGCAGCACTAACTGCTACAATACAGTACCTGAGTTGTATTTCAAAAGATAGTAACATTTTAGAGGCTGCTCTTAGCAGTCATAAATGCAGATACAGAGTCTTTATCCTCAGCTTACTGTGCTGTGGCACAGAGGACAGGCGTTATAATGGCCTGCTTCTTTGGCTTTCATGCAATGCTTACACACACTGCACATCCAGAACTGATACTCCAGGATAGGGGCTCCTGTTGCAACACATACAGGAAGTTTACCATCTCCACTACAAAAGAAAAAGAAAAGAGTAAAGCTGAAAGAATAAAAATGCGGTGGGCCAGTTGTTGATTAGAAGGTATTAGCTCATGTAACACTTCCCTGTTCATGTAACCAAGTATATAAATCTTCACACCAGAGAATGCCCACCCCCAGAACCATACAGTCACAAATCAGGACCAGCAGATCCAAAAGATGGGGTGAAAAGAAGCAGTGAAGGCCATATAAAAGTAAGGCCTGATCAGACACCTGCACTGCTATTATACTCTGTCCTCTGATGTCTGAAGGGTCAACAGAATCACAGCTGCTACTGAGATTCTGTACAGCTGCACAGTAGGATCAATCAAGACAGGTTAAAATCCTGTTTGCTAAAAGAAAATTGATTTCCATATTTACAAGTTCCATGCTCTCAACGGGAAATGTCAAACACACTGTTGTGGGTACAGCCACTCCAAGGATTTACCCCTTAAATGTGCCCTTCATACTAATTTTAACTTCACTTATTGCTCTTTTCACATCAAGTAGATCTAGGTAATTCACAAAACACTGGAGACCTGTTCGCTAATAATGTTTAAACAGTCCCTTGTTGATACTTTCAGCACTCCACCATGGAGATGCAAACAGTAACATGCTCTAATGTCACATGACACAGTCTCAAAGGTCCTAAAACTCCTGTGCTTTGTCTACTTGCATTTCAAATTGAGATGAAGTTACATCTTTATGCCCAGATCCTCAAATGCAGTCAGTGTCTATTTTCCCAAACACAGTGCTGTATTACCTTCCTCCAAACTGGCTAACTCCTGCCTCATTCTTGACCAATATCTGGTTTAAGTAGCAAAGTACTTAATTAATTTGGTCACACACAAAACCTGCTAAAACCCAAAACACAGCGAACAGCAGAAAAAAGTGACAGTATTATTATAGTATCATATAAAAATAAACCCACCTCTCAAGAACATCATCCAGATCAGCTGTTTTGTTATACTTTGGTCTATATCTTGTGAATATCTCTAGAGCAAGCTCTTCATATTGTTGCCTCTCCTCTGGCTGAAGAGTTTCCAAGGATTCTAATTTAACAAAGGCTTTTGAACAAGTATCAAATGCTCTGTTTGCACACGCACAGAGTGCCAAAAGGGAATAGATTTCAACTGCAGGGATAATGTCTTCATAATCTCGCAAATGAAGAGCTACAAAAAATGAAAAAAAGAAATCCAAGGAAATTATTACACATTTTCTTGGGAAGTGCAAGCATCTGTATGAAATAGTTACTACCAGATGACAGTATTAATTCTAAAAATAGGACAAAATTAACCACAGTCTTTTTATTGACATTACTGAAGCATTGCTCTAAAAAACAAACTAGCAGATTTCACTTGGAAATTGGTGTCTTCTTGAAACACTTTATTTTGGTTGGTGGGTTGTAAAAATATTAGAAGGATTTGAAATCTTCATTACTTGGACAAAGTACAAGGTGCTATTTGTTTCTCTTAATTCCCACAGATTTTTTGTGAAGCTCTACAAGGAGGTCTGATGTAAATTCAGGCATGCCTTATAATTTAGGGAGAGAAACAAAACAGTCAGCAGAACATCTACAGAGATTAACCAATTTACCAGGTAATATTTGGAAAGATTTGCATTTTCTTCAGCGAAGTCCTTTCCAGGTATTGTGACTGCAGCCATATTCAATTCATCATATGGTTTTGGTTTAAATTCCATGGATTTATTAAGAACTGAAAAATGTGGCAGCTATAAATGAAGATATGTGCTGTCTTTACAGGGTTGAAAATTAATTTTTACCTGTTTTAAGTGCTGCATCTACAGAACCTTTATAGAGCTGTTTTTGTGCAAGTATGAAGAAGTGGTAAGCCTCAGCTCCTCGCCAGGCATTGTCTGCAAAGCGATTCGTTGAAGAAAGAACATCTTCTTCCAGCAAACCAGCCAAAGCTGAAGCACTCTGAAAACAAACCAGTATCACAAGTAATTTTTACATGAAACAGATACAGCAGGAAATGGGGATATATGAAAAGAGCTTTTCTATACTTGGTGATTACACCACTGTCCGTGCTAAGTAGGCAAAATACAAATGGACCTACAGTGAGCATTGTCAGGCGTTCTGTACAGAGCACAGGCACAACATCTGGTGCAGATTTTCAAAGATAAATATCATATACGTGTGTATACAAATATATTTTGTGCACATCTGCAGACTGGTTCATAGTTTGGATTAATACTGCATTTCAACACCAGAGGTCTTAAAAATTTGTTTAAACCATTTCATTTGTGGATATGAAGATGAACGTGTAAGCAGAGAAAAAAAAATTCTTCCATTTGCTTTCCCTGTATCTGGAGCCATCTCCCTGCTGAATTACAGGCAACATAGCTTAATCTAATCACAGATCACCCTTTGGGATCAATTCTTACTCCTAAATGACACAAGAGTCTTGCAGGAAGTTTCTTAGTATGGTTTTCATTGTTATAGTGAAAATATTAAGAAAACCATGTTAAACTTAGGAAGCAAAATATCTACTAATACATATGAT